AAATTAGAAATGTATCCTCTGCACATGTATCACATTTGCTATATAGAAAGGACAATTTTTTTTTCTATCTAGACAACAAATCAATTAGTAAAACTCTGGGTGAATTTTGTGACTGCTACTTCAGAAAATACCAATAGTTTTTCAGGGAAGATGAACATTTCAAAGGACTTATAAGGCAAAAACACTTTTGCAAGTTATCAGATTCAATTGCAAGGATATAAAAGGCTAGAAACTAAAAGTGAAATAACTTTCTCATCTCAAAGTCCATTGGAGAGTTTTAATTATTAACTTGCTTGGTTTATTTCAAATGTGCCAACTTCCACATAGTTTTAAATGTATGCCAATATGTTGAAAGAGCATATACATCATTAAAAAAATTCAGTAGCTTGACAGTTGTGGAAAATGCTCAACATTATAACCAAGCAAATAATTCAGATTATAATTATAATTATAATGTCTTAATTATCAGAATAGCAGGATTATTAATGAAATAATAACATTCAATCTTGGCTTATATATTTATTATCACATCCATTGTCAGTAAGAATGTACATTGGTACCCTGCTTTTGTGATACAAGTTGGTTTTATATGCCAAGAGCCATTAAATATCATTTCTTTTGACCTAGAACTTCTACTTGTGAGATGCTCTGTAGAAGCAGTCCTATATTCAGAAAAAATTTTATCTATCAAGGTGGTCTTTACAATAATGAAAAATTGGAAACAACTTGAATACCTGATATTAGGGAGTGGCTAAATCAATTGTAATATATTTATTTGAAGAAATTTAATACAGTCACTAACTTTTATTGAAATAAAAATAAAGGCGAGTACAGTAGACATATTTTGATTTGCCTATCTAGCCGATATTCCTCCTTTTTTGGTTAATAGACCAGAGCTGTCTTTGGGAAATGACTCCTCAACACTTTTTGCCCCTGTGTCTGACTCATCCCTTCCCTTTAGTCCAGTGGACAAGATCTGGCCAGTGGGATTATTTTTGCTCAAATTATTAGAAACAAACCCTGGATTTTCAACTTTGGAATATTAAGGCAATAGGATGTCATCTTGGAGCTTCTAGTGACCATCTTTGCCAAGAAAACTCAATAACAATGAAGCCAACACAAAGGCAAAACTAAGACATGGAGAGAAACAGCATCATGGTAACATCATTTGGTCACTTGGCTTGAGCTATGCTTGAATTTTGGATATCCCCGGACTTTTCCTTACATGATCTAACAAATTCCTTTATCCTCAACAATTTTTTTGTCTGTTTCTCTTAAGCCAGTTTGAGTTTGATATGTGAACTGAATAGAGAGAGCTCTAAATTATATAGAGACCTAGGCTGACATTTCTTTTTCTTAAGTCTGCTAACAGTTATGATACTAATGGAAAGTGATCATTTTATGTACAATTAATCAGTATTCTATTATAAATAGAATATTCTATTCTATTAGAAAACAGCCTTAAAAATCATTGCCAGAAATTATTAGTACGTATGTATTATTTTAAATTTTTAATAACTTTTTACCAGATAAAAGTTATGAGTTTAGTGGAATTGAAGGGACTTTCCACTGAAGAACCTTGAACTCATGGGATCCAAGATTTTTACTCTCCCATGTTAAGATCACACATCCCTTTATACCCCTGTATATGCCTGTAGTGTCTCTTCTCTTTGGTCATGTATGTTTAACAGAAGAGCCTTGTTATAGCTTCCTTAATATGTACAGCATTCCTTCCAGTCCGGAGAATTTTAGAATAAACTGTGTCCCCTGACAGAGATAAGAATTCTATTGATAAGTGGCTATGTTAGGTCTGGAATTTATTTATACCCAGCACTTTCTGCAAGTTGGTTGCATATGAACATGAAATTTGTAACTGTATTTCTGTAAGACACATACTTTGAACTTCATAAGAAAGCACATTTTCTTGATATGCATTAAGCTAAAAACTAAAGAACTACAAGGGCCATATAGGTCTTTAGATTTAAATCATTCTCTGTATGACCATAAATATGTGGTGGAAAACAGATCATGCAACATTTTTACATATTTAAAATAAATTCTTCTCTTCTATTGGAGTCTCTGCAGTAAGAATGTAATTATTACTTATTCTTAGTTTCAGCTATTATTACTACTATTTTATGACAAGACTGAGGCATAAGGGTTTAAGTAACTGGCCCAACAGTATATTGCTAATAAGTACTAAAGCCAGCTGTTGTGCCAAGGAAGTCTAGCTGCAGAATCTAAGCTTTTAACCATTCTACTACATTATCAATTATTTAATTAGGTTGTTCAACATAGATGAAAACAAAAATACAAGTCACATAAAAATAAAATAGAGCTCTTTCTTTTTTAAAAAAGATATTAAAATATCTTTTTAAAAATAGAGCTCTTTCTGTTTTCTAAAAAATATTTTTAAATGTTTTATTTATTTATTTTTAGAGAAAGGGAGGGAAGGAGAAAGAGAGAAAGAGAAATATCAATGTGTGAGAGAAACATTGATTGGTTGCCTCTTGTATGCACCCAGACTGGGGCCTGAACTGGCAACCCAGACATCTGCTCCAACCAGGAACTGAACTGGTGACCTTTCATTTTGTGGAATGATACCCAACCAACTGAGCTACACAATTCAGGGCAAAGATAGAGTTGTTTCTGAAGAATATGATGGCAGGAAATTGGAAGAGATTAATTTTGTTTTTATTTAGTTTGATTTTAAAGTAATCAATTTTATTATAATAAATTATTTTATTATAAAGTACTTAGATAAGGAAAATTTTGTGTATAAGTAGAAAATATGGGAGAAATATTTCTGATGTGACCAGTTTGCAAGCCAATGGCTTGGAATTAACTTTTGTACAAGTATTTTTTGTTACTTTCAAGAGACATAATGGGAGAACAGAACATGCAATGGCAGCCTAAAAGAAGTAGGATCAATAGAGCCAATTTTGCAGAACCATGGAGAGTATTGTGGATTCACTTGAACTTAGCAATACCTTTCATCTCTTCAATAGGTCAATATATGCTAATTTTTTCAGTATCACAAATTTAATTTTTATAACACATTCTTTCTCATTTTCATTATGTAGGAAGATGTAATGATGACTTCATTAGATGGAAAATGCATCCTCATTTTCCAGGACTGGAAAGCTGAAGAACTTGAATCTTTGAATTCTTTAAGCTACAGGCATATACATTTAGACATACACGTACATAAATATGCTTAAACCTGTACAGACAGAATTACTCTTGGATGTACACTTATAAGCTTAGGTTTCTATATTCCCATTCTTTTCTTTTTCTCCAAAATAGCATATATAAAATATTTAATTAAAGTGATTTTATTTTCTTATTGAGAAATCACATTTCAATGTAGACACAAAATACATTTACTGGCAGCAACACTTTTGGCAATAAAACACTACAAGATATCTTTTAGTTCTTGTTCTAGAGTTTTTATATCCCAAATCTTTCAGGCCCATAATTACAAAGAAGCAGTTATACTATTATTTTCACCTCTATATACAAGAAAGAATTGCACTTGGTGTCAAATAAACAAAAGAAAATTTTTCATCCTTCTTTACTCAACAGCCTGGGTATTGGACTCGACCTTCACTTTTTAGTTAAACATTAGGTGTAAATGTAAGTAGTAAGAGCAGGGAAGAGTAATTTCTGGTATAAAAATTTATAAAGTAAGTAGTTTAGCAGCCATTTTACTTAACTGTAGAATAACTCTCACATAAGAGCTCACATGCCAGTATTCTAGAATAACTGTCTGTTTTTTCTAAGAGGTGTAGATTATAAGCACTTCTGAACACATTTTACTAGTCTCTAACTTGCTTATTGTCCAGCAGGACAGAATTCTCACATACCTGACCATCATTTTCTGTTCCTTTTCAAAGCGACTGCACTTAATGGCAGTCAGACTTAGGTTCAAATGTTCACTTCTCCATTATTTGTGGTTTAATGGGCAAAGGATAATTACTTAATTTCTCATGGTTTCATCATTTAAAAGGAGTCCTCATTGGACTATTTGGGAGGATTCACTGAAATGCCTGTCATGGTTCCTGATTTCTTAGCAGTGGCTCAGAAAGTAAGACTTACAGTTCTGTTTCTATATCCCAAACTGAACATTTGCATTTGAAAATATTTTCTCTCATTTCCTAAATTTCATCATTGATGTCGTATGCAATTGATATTGAACTCACTAAGTTGTGAGAGGAGAAGCAATGCTAAAGTCCTCATTGAAGCAGTCATTGTTTAAATAACTAAAGTGGATGAAATACTGTACTTTTAGGTTAGGGTATCCTGCAGGTAATGTACAAGTAACTAAGATGAATAGAGTGATTTTAAAAACAGTTGGTCTCAGATTGCAGGTGCTTTTGATTAAAGATGCTCAAAAATAATATTGCTTCATAAGTAACAAAAAGAATACAGTAACAAATTCCTACATCAGCTATTTCTTTATTCCTTTACTTTTATGAGGTCTATACACATTCTGGTAAATTCCTTGGAATATATGGAAGATCAAAGCACAGTGGACAGACAACAAAAGGAGTGGGCACAATGCCTCTCTGAAGTTACTGCTGTAGACCAGTGCCAGCTCTCTGAGGACTACAATGCTGTAGGAGCCAGCCTCCACCTCAGTGCTTAGATGGGGAGATAACTTCTGATGATGCGATTACTTGTTCATATGTCCCCTGATTTGCCAATGGCAGCTGGTATCACTTCCTTGCATGGAGTTTGTGCACAATTGTACCCAGGGGCAAGATAGGTTAATAAGGCCAAGAAGGAGGGAAGGACGTAGGAGTGGGTAATAACTGGGGAGGACATCAGAGCATCAACCTGGGGGAAAAGGGCGGAGGGCCAAGGACTGAGGGTGTTCCCTCCTGCTTCTGCTTATGTGTCAAGTGGTAGGAGAAGTTTTGAAAGCTGCTGTGAGGAGGAGCTAGTGACTGGGTCTGGGGCTCTTTTGTACCCCACCCTTCCCAGTTGTAGGAAGCCTCTTTGCGTTCAGAGGTAATTGAATTAGATGGAGAAAGACTGACCCAGGAATAGGAGGGAAGCGCGTCTCCTGCTGTTCCTCCTCTTGTCACCACTTGACTCCTGACTCTTCTCCAGATCAAACTAATTGCACCAGTGTGGCAGCAGAATACCCTGCACAGTGCCAGCCACTGCGGACCTGCATTGTGCATCCCCAGCTGTCCTCTTACCCAGTCACCATCCCTGACCATTGGGACCGCTTCTGATGGCTGTGGCCTCTGCTGCCCCAGGGAGCCTCTTCTGCAAGCAGCTCCTTTTCTCTCTCCTGGTGAGTAACCACCAAAAGGTTAAGGAATTCAAGCAGGTTGCTGGGTGCTTTCTCCCTCCAGTTTGGGCTTGAAAGAGAGTAGGGGTGGGAGTGGAAGGCAGAGAAGATAAACTGGGAAAAACAAAAACAGATCTCAGAAAAATCTGAGGAAGGGTTGAAAGACTTAGGACCCAGGAAGGCAGATATTTCATTGACTCTTCAAGGGCCCATGGCCAGATTGTCCATTTTTTTAAGGGAATTCCCTGTTCAGTCTTGCTGTGATGTTTTATTTTTTTAAAGGAGTAGTGGAATGAATTTATTCCTCAGGCATTTGGCCCAGAAGGTTCTGAGGTTTGCTTTTGCTGCTAGTCATTAAATAAGCTGTAGCTATTTAACAGGCTTAGTTCCATTAAGCTGTGAGAAGCTGAAAAGGATTCTGGGTACTTAAGATGGGAATTATCCAAGACTTTCTTAATTTTACACAGGAGGAGCTAGCTAAGAGAAGGGTGGAGCTCTTAGTTCTCGCAAGGGGTTTTACTTCAGAAAAATGTAACAGTTTTTAAAACAAATAACATTAAACTAGCTTCTACTTTGGTTTTCAATAGCTTTGTAACTGTGTACTCAGCTGCTAATTTTTATTTTGATGGAGGGGGGCAGAGGGGCACTATCTCACATATCTGGCATTTCTAAACAATGAATTTTCTTCTCTTTACATTTTGGCAAAATATTTTAACCTCAAATTATATTTTCAGAATTGAATGATTTTATTGTATGGGGATAAGTAGTTTTTCCATATAATTAATACATGATGTGGGATCGATGGTCTTGTTTTCACCCTGTAACTGCCTAGGTGGGGGGAAGTGCAGAATAAAACTCGAAAACCTGCTTGAGTCAGTGTGGGTTAGTTAAAATGTGATGAAAGCTTTCTAGGGATTCTTTTGTTTGTGGTCTGTGTTCTGTTCAGCACCTTTTGATTCATCCCTTGCTCATCCATCCCTGATCCTCATAGAGACCAAAAGAGTGTCTGACTCCTCCTTCCTCCAATTTGCTAAGCTGCTAATTTAACCTGAAGACTTGTAATAGTATTTGGGGAGCATTCCATTGGCTCTGCTGGCAAAGGCAGAACCAATGAAGTAGGGGTTCTGAGCAAGAAGGGAAGAAGATGGGTGTAGGAATGGGAATGGGAACATCCTACCAGCATAATGTGTATATATGTATATGTGTGTTTATGCATATATATGTATGCAGATGTATATATTTGTATATGTACGTATATTTCTAATTACAAAATACTCTTTCCACATTATTTAGATCATCAAGTAATAGAATATTTTATGCTTAGAAATGTTTTTAGATAGAGTTTAGTTCATTCCTTGGCATTAGGAATGCAAATATTAAAAAATCAAAGAAATTAAAATGTCTCATGTTTTAAAAAGTGGCTATTTAAATTAAAACTAAAGACAAATAAATATCATCTTTTTAATTTCAGTCTTTGGTAATATCTGCCTAATAGAGTTTTTGTAAAATTACAAACTGTAATCATCACCACATAACAATGTTATGGCCAACAATGGGACCACATACACAACAGTGGCCCGTAAGATTCTAGTGGAACTGAAAAATTTTTATCACCTAGTGACATTGTAGCTGTCTTAACACCACAGTGCATACATTACTCGAGTGTTTGCAGTGATGCTGATGCAAAATAAACCTTCTTTCCTGGAACTACCTGGCTTTAAAGTATGTTTTTTTTATTGACTTTGAACAGAGAGAGAAAGGGGAACACAGAGAAACACTGAATAGTTGTTCCACTTATTTATGCATTCACTGTTTTTTTTCTTGTATGTGCCTTGACTGGGGATAGAACCCACAACTTTGGGATATCAGAACAATGCTCTAACCAACTGAGCTACGCGGCCAGGACAAACTACCTAGTTTTTTAATAAAGACAATGGTTGTGTCTTGAATTTATTTAAATATCTCTACGCCATTGAAAGCCACTCTCTATATTTTGAAATATGTATATTTTTAGATTAGTTTGTGAATGAGATTATTTAGACTGACATTTATGTCAGGCCAATCTAAAGAGTGGGTGTTGTTCTTTAAAAGGTGAATTTTTTTTCAAATAGTTTTAGATTTGACTTATACCCTCAAATTTTGGGAGTCTGTGAAAATGATGATTTGTGTACAAATATGTGATTGTTATATTCCAGAGCTAAGTACTTTCTTTATGCTAAAAAAAAATCAGAATGAAGCCCTTGCTGGCATAGCTCAGTGGATTGAGCGCGGGCTGCGAACCAAAGCATCACAGGTTTGATTCCCAGTCAGGGCACATGCCTGCGTTGCAGGCCATGGCCCCCAGCAACCCCACATTGATGTTTCTCTCTCTCTCTCTTTCTCCCTCTCTTCCCTCTCTAAAAATAAATAAATAAAATCTTTACAAAAAATCCAAATGACACTTAAGAATGCCCTTAGAGATGATAATGTCTATATAAAATCAGTGGTTTGTAATACATTTTCTTAAAATTATATGATATGATTTAGGTTCTGAGAAGTGCTGTTCACTTTAATTTTTTCATTGATACTAAATGACAGTGGTACCCCTAAAGCCACTTTCTTTGCTGTGTCCTTTAAAAGTGAATATAAAAAAAATCAAAGGATTAGAAGACTTCTTTGTTGATAAAATTGACAATACTTTTATCAGTAAGACAAAACTGTAATGTGAAAGTTTGTAATCAAATGTAATTTGTACTTTTTTTCCTTTTGAGGTTTTAATATTGTTTTGTGATGCTTGTCAGAAAATTTCTCTTCGAGTTCCTTCTCATCTTCAGGCTGACAGACTGGTAGGCAAAGGTGAGAAACGGTATTAAAAACTTCATAGTTTTAACTGCTACATTTAGTTTCTGGCTACTGTTGTAAAGTTTGGGTTAAAAGCCATATTGTAGATACTTGGCATTAAAATTCAACATAAATGAAAGATGAACTGCTTGTTTTTTGATGGTTAGAAACAACTAAAGTGCCAAGTTCATTGTATACTTTTCATGCCAGAAAAATTAGTAAACATTAGAGGGCTGAGTTCTTTTAGTGTAGTTCAAACTAAGCAAGACAACAAAACCAAAAGCATATTTTAATGCATATCAACTGATCTGCTGCCAAAATTCCAAAGTCAAGATTCTTTAATTGATTACATATAAAACAGATGTGTCAAAACTTAAATGCCTCTGAAGAAAATTGGTGCTTGAGATTGATTGCAATGCACCAGTACACAGCAAGAATTTATGTGATCTATTTCACAAAATAGCTTGTGATGGCAAATAAAATTTCAACTAGTCTTGCTATCACAGTCCTACCGGAAGCATAGGGTTCTGAGTCCAAATATAACATGCCTTCCATCAAAGATTTTCATTAGCTTAAGTTTACATTTAGAAAAATACATTTTGAATTCAGAAGTGGTACCTTTCCAAGATAGATTGCTTGGACCAGTGTTTTAAATTAATCCCTTATATTTTCTTAACACATTTCAAAGGTATACAGTCTGTACTCTAAAGATAAACAGTAAATATGCTAAATGTATTAAATATGGATTTGTGAAGAAAATATTTTGACAACAAACACAACATATACTAACCACTGAGTTTATTAAACCTCCAAGATACATCATAAAATGATTATTTGTAATATTATTGAGCAATATTATATAAGTACAGACCAATTTTCATATTTTTTGCAAGATTTAGTTATCAAAGATTATTGTAAACAATTTCAAAATCTACTGATGTCATAGTTATACTATATATAATATAAAATGACAAATTTATATATGTACAAATCCATAAGTAAAAGCTAAAGTGGAAATAATAAATCCAGCGACACAAAGAAAATATTAGATGTTTATTCATAAATTAATTTATGATGAAAGTAGCAGAAACTGTGACTTCATTAATTTAATTATTTAATTTTCATGACCCCTCAGTTTTAGAGCAGCAGGTACTCACCGAATTCCAAGTGTGACTTTCTGTTTCTGATGCACTAACTTGTAGTTGTTATTCCTGTAAAACTTGTTCTATTCCTGTTTCATCTTACAAATTGCTGTGATATTTCTTCCCTACAGTGAATCTGAAGGAGTGTCTCCAGTCGGCCAGCCTAATCCTGTCAAATGACCCTGACTTCAGAATTCTTGAAGATGGCTCAATTTACACAACACGTGACCTCATTTTGTCTCCCCAAAGGAAGAGTTTTTCCATTTTTCTTTCAGACAGTGAGAAGCAGGAACAGAAAGAGATAGAAATTGAACTGGAAGCAAGAGCAAAGAAGGTATTTTAGGCAAAGATTTGACTATATTAATGGGCTTATGTGAGTCCTTCATTTCATAGACTTCCTTCCTTATTAAAAATCACTGTTCTTTAATACTCACTTATTTGTCTATTTGACTGATAATTAACACATGTAAATACTAGACTGTTTTAAGGAGTAGTAGAGCTGTATACAAAATGGCATAAACATGAACAACTCTGCAGCCAGGGGGCAAAGTCAGAATGTCAGAGCTTTCAGACAGCGCTTTGTGGGTGGCACTAAGAACAACCAGCCTGAAGAACAAGGTGAGGGTGGGTCTAAAATAGTGCAAGCTGATTCAGGATGGAGGCGTAGAACTCCACCCTGGGTGGCTCACTCTCTCTCAAGTGACTATAGGGGTGTGCGTCTCTCTTTAAAGAGGGAAAGAGATTATCCAAAGCTTATTCCTACCTTAACTGAAAATCCCATGGGATCCTTCTGTTCAGAAAATGGAGTAATGACCAATCCACAGGATTGGTTTGAATGTTCTGACCCTAGTCTCACTTTCTTGTAGTGAGTGGTGGTGATGGAAGAATGGGAAGGGAGCAGGTTACTGGAATTCACACAAACCTCACTTTAAGCCAACTCTGCACATGAATTTGGTATTACAAAATCATTTATTAAGTAATTTGACTTACGATACTTTCCCAGCCAAATTCCTTTTGATTATGAGAACACTTCTTCATTTAATTTAGAATATGCTTAAAGCTTACAAAACAAACTGAACTAACAAGCAAAACAGAGACAGACTCATAGATGGAGAACAGGTGACAGCTAGTGGGGGTGGGGGGAAGGAGGAAGTGGAGGGACTGAGCAAAAAAAGAAAAAGGACTCACAGACATGGACACCAGTGTGGCAATCACTGGGGGAAGAGGGGTATAAAGGGACTAAATGGTAATGGGAAAAATGCAATAAAGATTAAATAAAAAAAACATTATTCTTATGTCCAAATTTTAAAGCCTCCATACTACGTAAAATAAAACATACTTGAACAAATGCTTACCTGTATCTTTATAGAGGTATACAGATGCTTTGAAATGCAGATAGTGTTTTTAAAATTTTTGGCTGTACCACTTCTAGTGGAATAAAATCAATTCTTAAATATTTGTAAATGAATGATCCATTTTAGGGGGTCTATTCTCAAGATGGCCTATTTTGCCAATGCCTTATAAAGCTCTGGTTGCTTAACTGGTTAAATCAAGAATTAAGTGAGGAACTGGTTCTTAGTCTTGCATGTATATGTGTGTTTATCTTATCAATAAAATAACTAAACAGAAATAATTTAGGAGTTGGTTATTCACAATATTGTTATATGCATCCCTTACTTATTTTCATGTGGTATACATGATCCAGCACAAATAACACCCCTTTTTTATTACTAAATCTTTCATTACAAAATCATGAGCATGTAATTCTGTAACACAACATTATCACACTCAAGCACACCCTATGACATTTCAGGTGAAATGTTCATATTAAAACTGTAAATTATTATACCCATATTATTACCATACCAACCACATTCAAGCAGGTGTTACTTTGGCTGGACCCTGTATGCATAAAAATCACAGTTCCTAGAATGATAAGTAATGCTGTATTTCTTTCTCTCTCAACAAATGCAGGTTTCTAAAAAGAGACATAGCAAAGACATGGTCCTCCAGCGCAGCAAGAGACGGTGGGCTCCTATTCCATGTTCACTGATGGAGAACTCGTTAGGTCCGTTTCCACAGCACGTTCAGCAGGTACGTTTCGTATTGTTCAATTTTACATGTTGGAGGGTTTTTGTTGTTGTTGTTGTTATTGTTGTTTTAAAATCTCAATTTGACTTGCATAGTATTTTGAATGAGGGCTTGAACCCATTGTTAATTTTAAGGATCATGTATTCACCAGAAATAGGGTCCTGTAGAAGTGAGTCTGTGTAATTTGCTACTTTCCTTTAGAAACCAGATTTAGCACTTAGAAAAAGTTTCTTATTTTGAGTTTCTGATGATCTTGAGTCTATACCCTGATTTTCCTAAATATCTTACTAGACTTTAGCATTCAAGTACAGAGAACATGCTTAGAGAGTTTACATAATTCGACTCTCTATTTATCACATATCCTTACCAAAAAAAAGTCCAACATTTCTGTTTACCAAAAAGGTGGCATCACTGCCACACAGCTGTATTATAAACATAAACCAGCTTTAAAATTGTGCAATTATTGAAGAATTAATTATGGGAGGAAAGTTGCATTATTTCTACTTTTTTAAATTATAAAAACTTTCAATTCTAAATAACTCAAAATAACTGAAACTGTTGTTATAATTCATAAGGAAATAAAAACAAATGAATAAGAATTATAAAAGTAACCATGACTGGTGTGGCTCAGTGGCTGAGTGCCAGCCTTCTAACTGAAGGGTTGCCGGTTTGGTTCCCTACCTAGGGCCCATGCCTGGGTTGCAGGTCGGGTACCCATTAAGCAACCACACATTGGTGTTTCTCTCCCTCTCTTTCTCCCTCCCTTCCCCTCTCTCTAAAAATAAATAAATAAATTTTAGAAAAAGAATTGTAAGAGCATATTTAACTCCATGAGTATTCCATAAATATGCAGATAACATAAAAGAATGTGAACTCAAATAAGTGATAGAGTTTGAGGATTTGCACATTCAGACTATGAACAAGAATTTTAAAAATATAGGGCATACTGATTAGATAAACAGAGGAAAGAAAGAATATGTTAGTAGGGAAAGAGCAAGTGACAAAAAATGTGACAAAAAATGAACTATTACAAGATGTTAGGTTGAAGATACTTTTTATTCTAAATTGTCACTTGTTATTACAGGTCCAATCTGATACTGCACAGAACTACACTATCTTTTACTCCATAAGTGGACCAGGAGTGGACAAAGAGCCCTTGAATTTGTTCTTCATCGACAAAGATACTGGGGATATTTTTTGTACACGAAGCATAGATCGTGAGCAATATCAAGAGTTTCCGGTGAGATTATTAGATTACTTACACAGAATTTTGTTTATTACTGGTTTAATATTTTCAGTGTTGTTTATGTATTAGAAGAAACATTTGATTTCATATTTTAAATATTATCAATATGCAATATAGACTTCAATTTCTATTGATGCTATTGATGAAGAAAGACAATAGACATAAGGGAAGAAAAGTGGGGGATACCTATAGAAAATATAATGACAGAATTCTAAAGGATAAATTTTGCTTTGTAGAATCCTAGGACAGCAGTAGTAAATTTTACTGACCTCAAAGTTTCCTATAATAATATAGTTCAGTTATTCTCAACCTTGCCTGTACATTAGAAATGACATCAGAACCTTAAAAAATACCAATGTCTGGTCTATGCCCAGAAATTCTGATTTAATTGTTCTGAGATTTAACTAGAATGAGATGATGCCCAGTCAGTTGAAAATTTGAAGTCATCCAAGGTGAGTCTAAATGCAGCCGAAGTCAGGCTGAGATCCGCTGCTCCAGCTTCAGTAGCATTGTGCTTTTCTTTCTCTCCCTTTGAGTGTCTTTAGCAACAAGAATCTTGAGTATCATTTTATTTCCTTAGTAATCCAGAATAAGTTTACCAATTCACTTTATTCTATCTATTCATGCCCAAAGAGCACTTAAAATGTAGTTTGCCTTCCTCAAAGGAAAAAAATGAATAGAATTGAATGCAAAAGCTGACTATTAAAGAATTACCCAATGTAAGGCTCCATGTTAGGTGTTTAGACTCACAAATATCCATAAGACTCAGGCTCTATCCCTGAAAACAATTATAACTAATAGAGACATAAAATAATTCCATAATTTTCTCTAGCTCAAACTCTCAAAATGGCAGCAGTTTAAAGAAAAAAACCTCATATCCCTGGCTGGCGTAGCTCAGTGGATTGGGCGCGGGCTGCGAACCAAAGTGTCGCAGGTTCGATCCCCAGTCAGGGCACATGCCTGGGTTGCAGGCCACGACCCCCAGCAACCGCACATGGATGTTTCTCTCTCTCTCTCTCTCTCTCTCTTTCTCCCTCCCTTTCCTCTCTAAAGATAAATAAATAAAATCTTAAAAAAAAACAAAAAAAAAACCTCATATCAAATCTAGGGGGAGAGGGAGGGAGGCTAAACAATATGACATTTGGATGTGATGGTGACGATGATGATAATAATGGTGATGATGATGGTGGTGATGGTAGTGGTGGGGGATGGTAATAATATACTCCTGTATTAAATGCCTCAGTTCAGAATTTATTGAGAAATAAGATATAGGGATCAGACTGATGGATATCAAAGTGTAAGTTTTATTACTCAAAAAGCCCATCTGCGGGTTGTTGGGGTTAAAGTGAAGAAGGGGACAGATAGAACATGGATGGTTATTTCAAAACTTGCTGTCTCAGAGCTTGTCCTGGAAATGCTTCTCCATGTCAACAAGACCAGTGAAGATACATGTTGCCCTTTAACCCAACAGTGAGGGTTTTGTTGTTACTCTGGTTGAAGCTAGGCAGATCGCTGAAGAGTGTGATTAGGGAATGTCATGACTGGAGCAGTGCTTCAGGGAAGCGAATCTGACTCCTGAGCTGCGCATAGATGGGAGGAGGTCACTTAGGACAATTGCAGCAAAACTGGCGGAATACAACATGAAAGTTGGTAGGAGACGTCTGGAGTCACATGAGGATGACTGCATTGGGAATAGAAAAGACACATGACAGAGACACAAAACTTCCATAATTGCTAGAAATTGGCAACAGATTAAAAAGACTAATGAAAGAGAGGGAGAATTTAGATACCTAGAATTATAATTCTGGATTATTTTAGAAGATGGTTACAGCAGGGAAATCAGAAAGCTAGTTGTGTGGTGAGGAATGGAGTTAATACAGATTTCACTCTGGGCAGGTTTAGTTGGGCCTGTCAGTGAAGAGAATCTGTTTGACTCAACAACCATCCATTAAACACTTACCCATGCATAAAACACATAAGATTGCAGAAGCAATTTGATGGTGTTTAAAGGGAAAGGACATTAAATAGTTTCATTTGAGGCCAAGATACATCATTTTGAAGTGGAATTTGGAATGTGTACGTGTATTTATTAGCATTTTATTTTACACAAGAAATTCATACTTATGGTAAAAACTAAGAAAATGCAGGTACATAGAGAAAAAAAAAGCATACTTGAATCACGCAGAGGTAGATAGTATATCAATGGCAAGGAAAAAAATTTATATTTTTATAAACTTACAAAAATACTTGTTAATTAGCATAACTGGTGGAAGTCCACCTGCATTCTAACAAGTAGAACAACATGCAGTTAGTGCAGGGAATGGGGCAGCCTCATTCAGCTGGAGTGAGTGGTCCTCGGGAGAATAATGAGAATGCTGAAAGAAGGCTGAAGTCATACGGCAGGCATCGAGTGTGCTGGTTTTTGTCTGTCTGTTGCATAAGTTCTTAGTTACATACATGTACCTTTCAAACATGTCTTTGCCCAACCGCTAGGTTTAATTTTGTGCATAGCTCGCTATTTAAGAGTAAGCTGATGGTGTTTGTTTACCTTTCAGATATATGCCTATGCCACAACCGCAGATGGTTATGCACCAGAGTACCCACTCCCCTTATTATTCAAGGTTGAAGATGATAACGATAATGCCCCCTATTTTGAAACCAAAGTGACTATCTTTAATGTGCCTGAAAATTGCCGTATTGGTAAGTTCGCATTTTAGGAAAACACTAGATTTTTGCTTCAGTTGAATTACTCATTAATGTTTTAAATACAGTTATGCTAAAGATATTTAAATGCTTGACTTTCAAGAATATGCTACAGAAAACTTGTAGTCTTATACTCTTCAAATGCAAACTTTTTGTGCTCATTTTGCTATGCATATATAGAAGGCAGATAATACATAAAGCTACTAACTTTGTTAGATCAATCCACAATGAACAGGAATATATGACAAATGCTGTATATATTTTCTGATTTGTGCACGTGTCACAGATGTGTTTATAAAGCAACGAATAATATGAATACCTATGAAGTCTCAACACATTTTCAACGATTGAAACAATATCACAGTATGAAAATGCTAATCTGACTTATAACAACATACACGTTGCTTTACTTGGCATATTTTCCAGATAAACTGAAAAAAAATTTAAACGTGTTTGATGCTGTGGGCAGCCAAAAATGTGATCTTTGTATAATCAGGGGCATAACAACATTGCCCAGCTTTTCACAGAATCTGCAAGAAATGTTCTCAGTTCTTTGATCCTCTAGTCTGTTGCCATTACATGTGTGTATTTATTGGTCTTTCATAATAAGTGGTTTGTTAAAGCAACATTCTACACTGATTTCTGGGCCATAAAGCCTGACCCTTGATACTCAGACTCATACATAATGTTTTTGCCTAACATTCATTAATAATTACTGTGCATGTTAATAATTCAGCATATTTATTAAAATGTAAATGCACAAACTCTTTGTTATCCTATAAAAGGTGGTACTATTTCTAATAACATTATCAAGTTGAACTATAAAAGAAACAAGATCTACAGAGAGGATCCCAACCAAAAATGGCCCATGAACTGGGGTAGTGGGTTGGGGGAAGAATTTTAGAACCACTCTTACCAAGGGTGGGGTGAATGTCCTCATATATGTAGAATACAAATCATGTTCTTCACAGTATTCACTTAATTGAAGTTTCTAAGTAAGAGAAGGTTAGAGTTTGGAGAGTATTTATACTCTTGCACTTATTATACTTGTGTTTTTTGGGAATATATGCTACAGCAGTGCCTTAATTATTTTTGTGATATTGCTATTTTAAATTATTGACGATATTGGATTTCTTTAAACAGGAACTTCAGTGGCAAAAGTGACCGCCATAGACCTCGACGAACCTGACACTCTCCATACTCGTCTGAAATTTAAAATCTTGCAGCAAATTCCAGATCACCCAAAGCATTTCACTGTACACCCAGACACAGGCGTCATCTCCACAACGTCACTTTTATTGGATAGAGAAGTAATGAATTAATTCGTTTTTTCCCAAGTCACTACACTATATTTAAGATGATAAAAACTCCCAGAGAAATAACAGTAAGCCCTTTGTGGCCTCTTCTCCAAGCTTGCTTCTGTGCGGGCTGTGGTTAGGGCTTCTCTGGACACCTGTTTTATCTGTATAGAGAATTTGGGAAGGTACGAGGTATTAGATGAGGTCTCACTTGAGATCATTGACTTAATTTGATATGTGGATACTGAAATAGTAAAAAAATAGCTTTTAAATGTTGAGACATTATCTTAGACACGTTAACTTTCCATTGTCCCGACTAACTGACCAATCTCTTGTTCTATATTTAGTTACGTATTTTCTTTGGGGGGGGATGGGGGGAAAGTTCATCAATGTTCCTTTTTCCTTTTATTCAGAAATGTGATACATACCAGTTAATAATGGAAGTACGAGACATGGGGGGCCAACATTTTGGCTTGTTTAATACAGGAACAATTACTATTTCACTTGAAGATGAAAATGACAATGCACCATATTTTACAGAAACTGCTGTGAGTATGTTTTCTGTGTTCTTTTATCTAAGTTCACTTACTTTTTCTGAAAACAAATCTGGAGTTTGGTAGCTCTGTGAGGTTACACATTTTAGTTTTAGTAGCTACCATGTACAAATAACATAGATAAAAAAATACAATTTCTGTAGAAATCACTGAAGTGCCAGTTGTTCTGGATGCTAGGGAAATAACTACTCTCTTGGCCATATAAAATCTTCTTAGCCCCTGAAGATGTTCATGTATTCAGTGCATTCTTGGATGCCAAGTTATGGTATCAGATTCCTTGGATTTAAATGCCTTTTATGGAATGGAGGAGAAGAGGCCCTGTCTCTGGTGTCATTTGTACTTCAACATCTTAAGAAGAAAAAAGACTAGCTTTATATCCTTTGCTCTGCTGGGGAGTCAGTAGTACAGGCTGCCCGTGGCCATCGACATGCAGGCTCTTCCCATGCTGAGTGTGAACAAACGTTCCCTTGGGAACTACACTGTACAAGAAATATAGATAGCAGGAAAACTCCAGGGAATAGTTCTTTCTTGACCTTTTAGTAAGTAATCTTCAGTTTTTCATTAATCTATACCATAGTACAAATGAAAGAATGGAAAACCTGCAGTGCTAGATCCATCCATACTATTTTTATATTAATTGCTATACCTTGTAAGGATAGGCATTATTCCATATTTTATATGAGAAAATGGAAGGTCAGTTAAGTGCCTAGCTTATGATCTCATACATATGCACCACGTAAGAGGAAAAAGTGGGGTAAGACTCAAGATCTGTTGTGCTCCTGTGACTCCCAAGCTGTCATCCTTCTATGAATTGATCCTGCATCTCTAGAAGATTCTGATTTACTAGTTATTTTAGTCTTTTAATATCATATACTTCCATAACCTTATTTATTTTTTGGTTATGGGAAAAACTATGATTTAATTTCTCAAAAAAAGGAAAAACTCTTTAAGATGTTTGCTAGAGAATCAAAGGTAAATTTTTAAAAATTGGCATAATGGGTCATCTAGTAATAATAAGAAATCATTGTAGGTTGTAATTAGCCATGAATATTAAAGGCTAAATATATTAATAGAAGCACTTGCTATGTCTAAGAAGGTAATAGACTATAAATATTATGGGTTCAGAATAGAGGTGAATGTGAGGGCTTGGATATGTAGGAAAATTGCCAGCGAAGTTGCAAAGTTAAGGCATAAGTTGCTTTTTCAAAGGTGGATAAGATTTGAAAAAGTAGTAAGGAAAGAAGTAAACTCTGCATCACACTTATAAATTCTTCCCAATATATGATTGCACATTTCTATATTCCTTTGCTTTCTTTTACTTTAAATATAAATTTTAGAGGAGAAAGTCATATTGTTAAAGCTATAAATTTATAACAAGAGACTTTTTTTTAGTATTTTGCAGAAGTGGAAGAAAACAGAATCGATGTTGAGATTTTACGAATGAGTGTACATGACCTGGATTTGCCAAATACTCCTTCCTCAAGGGCTGTGTACCAGATCCTACAAGGAAATGAAAATGGAAACTTTAAAATCAGCACAGACCCAAATACAAATGAAGCAGTCTTGTGTGTTGTCAAGGTAAACAAACAAAAACAATCAAGCAATCCTTTAAAAAATTCTAACTTAACTGATTCATAAATTTCCAACTTAATTGATATGTAGACATTTATATATATGTATATAAATTTCTGTGTGCACATGACTAGTGAATTATAATGAAATGATTACATTGGCTTAAAAATTTATTATTATTATTATTACTATTTTACCTTCATTTTCTCTCTTAGAGGAAAAGCATGGCAGGTACAAAAATTTACTTGTACTTGTACTACAGATGTGACAAACCAAGGCAGAGAAATATTGAATTAGTAATTAGATATTAGCTTTAGAGGCATTCTTAGACGCCCACGTATCCAAAATCCTTTTTATTTTATTTTACTTATTTTTTATTTACTTATTTTTTTTATCCTCACCATAGGACATGCTCATTGATTTCAGAGAGAGGGGGAAGGGAGGGATAGAGAGAGAGAGGGAGAGAAACATCAATGTGATAGAGAAGCATTGATAGATTGCTTCTCTTATGAGACCCACCTGGGGACAGAACCTGTAACCCCTATGTGTGCTCTGACCAGGAATTGAACGCACAACCTTTAGGTCTACAGTACCTAAAAGTCCACTGAGCCACACCTGGTCAAGGCCAAAACCCTTATTTTATAGAACACAAGACAGAGAAAAATGGAAGAATCACTATTTGAAATCAAACCTCCTGACTTTCCATTCCTTTCACGATCATGTTACACTTTTGCCTCTCTGTAGTCTATTTGATAAGACACTTTACTAAATATAAAGTGGGTTTGCCTATTAATCACCCTATATTTTGAGGTAGCCATGGCTTTAGAATTTTAAAAATTCAATTTCTATTATGGGCACCTAAAATGATTATTTTAACTGAACCTGATTCTATTCTAAGTCCTTCTCCCATTGTTCACACTAATCTGTAACATACTTCCATCATTATTTTTTTATAGACTGCATTGTCTTGGAAACTTTATGTACAAATTCTGCCTCTCTCATAAGGTTTATAGAAAATATCTTTTAATTATTATATTGCCACACTGGTTGGTGTGGCTCAGTGGACTGAATGCGGACCTACAAACCAAAGGATTGCCAGTTTGGTTCCCAGTCAGGGCACATGCCTGGGCTGTAGGCCAGGTCCCCAATAGGGGGCATGCGAGAGGCAACCACACACTGATGTTTCTCTCCCTCTCATTCTCCCTCCCTTCCCCTCTCTCTAAAAATAAATAAATAAATCTTTAAAAAAATTATATCACCTGTTCTTTCTCTTTCTATTTCCTTCCCCTTCCCCTCCTCCCGTCTCCATCCTCCTCCCCTTCTCCCCCTTCTCCCCTTTCTCCTTCTTCTCCCCCTTCTCCTCCTTCTCTTCTCCTCTTTCTCCTGCTCCTTCTTCTCTTATGTTTCTTTCTCTTGTTTTCCTTTTTTTGTTTTCTTGATAGACTTTAATCTCTAATTATTTAACTATTGTTTAGGATTCTTTCTGACTATTCAGTTCGGGACTGAGCATTTTGATCAGAAACAAAGCAAACCAAGTATAATGTGCTTTCAAAGGTGCTGCTTAATAATATCATTATATCTTTTGACTCATGTACTCAGATAACTGCTCCATTATTGCCCAATGTCATATGCTGAGAGTCTAATGATAGCTTGGAGGGGGCTTCCGTTATCTTGTTTATCACTGTTATACCATTTGATAAGTATAGTAATCTGCTTGAACTGGAATAAGCCACACCTTAATTCTGTATTACTATTCATATTTAAACTAATAATGCAAAAAATGAAGACAAGAACTTTCCAAAGAAAAGTGAGAAGAAAATTTGATTACATTTTAGTTTAGTTTAGTTTAGTATTTTTGGCTTTTTAAACTCAACTTTTATTTTGCAAGAATTTTAGATTAATGGAAAAGTTGCAAAAATAGTACAGAGTTAATTCCCATAGACCCTTTCTTTGCTCAGCTTCCCCCAGTGTTAACGTCTCACATAACCATGGTATGCTTGCCCAAAGAATTTAACATTAGTATATAGAACTATTAACCAAACCACAGATTCTTTATATTTCATAGTTTATCCACTGATGCCCCTTTTCTTTTTTTAAATTTATTAAGGTGACATTGATTTGAAAATTATGCAGGTTTCAATTATACAACTCAATAAAAAAACATCATCTACACACTGCATCGTGCACCCTCCGTCCCAAGCAAAGTCTCTTTCTGTCCCCATTCCCTGCCCTTTGCCTACCTCCACCTAGCCCCCACCCTCTTCCTCCCTTTCCCTCTGGCCATCACCACACTGTTGTCTGTGTCTATGTGCACAGACATAGTGTGGTGTATGGTCTATGTATGTATGATTTTTGGCTAATCTCTCATCTCCTTTCATCCAGTCCTCCCACTTCCCTCCCCTCTGACAGCTGTCAGTCTGTTCCATATACCCATGCCTCTGTTTTAGTTTGTTCATCAGTTTATTTTTTTCATTAGATTCCACATATAAATGAAATCATATGGTATTTGTCTCTCTCTGACTGGCTTTTATAAGGGGTTAATGTTCAAAATATACAAAGAACTCACACAACCCAACACCAGGAACATAAACAATCCAATTAAAAAATGGGTAGAGGGCCTTAATAAACACTTCTCCAGAAAGGAGATACAGATGGCCAACAGACCTGTGAAAAAAAGTTCAATGTCACAAAGCATTGGAGAGATGCAAATTAAAACCATAGGGAGGTATTGCCTCACACTTGCCAGAATGGCTGTCATAAATAAATCAACACACAACTGGGGAGAATGTGGAGAAAAAGGAACGCTTGTGCACTGTTGGTGGGAATGCAGCCACTGTGGAAAACAGTATGGAATTTCCTCAAAAAATTAAAAATAGAACTGCTTTTTCACCTTGTGATCTCACTTCTAGGAATACATCCTAAGCATCCTGAAACACTAATTTGAAAGAACATATGCACCCCTGTGTTCACTGCAGCATTTTTTTACAACAGTTAAGGTCTGTAGATGTATAGATTGAAAACTGGTACATTTACACAATGGAATACTACTTGGCTGTACAGGAAAAGGAAATCTTCTTACCTTTTTTGACAGCATGTATAGACCTGGAGATAAGTATGCTAAGTGAAAAATTGATTAAATTTTAAAAACAACAATTTTGCATTTGATCATTTTTGTCATTGTAGGGAGCTAATTATGAGTCTTGAAATACATTAGCACTTTCTTTTGGTAACATTGTATAAAAATGATATTTTCTTTTGTGCTAGAGCTTGGATTATGATGGTAAGTCTTTTATATATAGTGTTATACATCGATTAATTAAAGTATGTCCTTTAACAGCCATTGAACTATGAAGTCAACCACCAAATTATTCTGAAAATTGGTGTACTTAATGAAGCACAGTTCTCTAGTGCGCCAAACTCTCAAACTCCTACTATGTGCACTACAACTGTCACTGTTAAAATTAAAGACAGTGATGAGGGCCCTGAATGCCAACCACCAGTAAAAGTTATTCAGAGTACAGATGGCCTCCCAGTTGGCAAAGAACTCTTTGGATACAAAGCATTGGATCCAGAAACACGCAGTGGTGAAGGTTTAAGGTAATGTATTTTTCAAAAAGTTCCCTATTTTTAATTGTGATGTAAATTGATTTTAAGTTTAGGAAAGTTATATGTATTTTTTAAAATGATAAATTTTGAGATTATATCCAGTTTTTGGTTTGATCATTTATATTGATTTCTTAAAATTAGGTATAAGAAGATAGGAGATGAAGATAACTGGTTTGACATTAATGAACAAACTGGTGACTTGAGGACTGTAAAAGTATTAGATAGAGAATCAAAATTTGTAAAAAACAACCAATACAATGTTTCAGTGGTTGCAACTGATAGAGGTGAGTGCAATTTTCTAGAAATGAAATGTAAAATATAAATATAGGGTATACTTTATAGAAAATCTTGGGATGAAATTTATTTATTTCCAGATCAAAATTTTATACAAAAAATGTTTGCATTATGATTGTTTAATATTTTGGAGACCACCCCAATTTGGTTCCCAGTACATCAATGACACAAAACTGAGAAGTGGGAGTTTAAGTTTCACGGTCCCTGTTACTTGAGCTCTGCCTTGGACATGTTGGCATCCTCAGGGATCTCCATTTTTGGACAGGAGTTTAGATTTAGATCATTATGACTTGGACAGGCTGAAAGAATTCAAACTGCCTAAAACAGTTGGGTTCAAGGCCAGTTGGTTTGGAGCCCCTCTTAATGGGGAACAAAATTTTCCCCTATGGCCTAAAGGTATGCTCACACAATGACTCTTGAACAAGTCTTTTGCTATACCCTGCAATCCTTTTCCAAGGTTAGTTCTAGAGCCTATCTTGAGAAGAAATGTTTTCCAAATGTCATGAAGTAGTCTCTCAAAACCCTTGAGAAGGACACTCCAGGAATTAAACCACTGTGAACAGGTAACATTGTGGTGGAATTAGTGTATTTACTGACTGTTGGTTTTTCTTTTTGTAATGCAAATGCCTGTCTTAAGGCGTGTTTGCTGAGACATCCGCTTCAAAATGGCTCTTTTGAATAAATACATTCATTGCCAGCCACAGGACTAGAAAAAGGAGCCAGGCTGCTTTTCCCATCCTTGTTCTTTAAATTCCTGCTCTTGTGTTTTAAAATCACTGATAAACAGTGAGCCTGTGAAACCCTAGGCATCCCCATCCTGACTCAAGGCCCATGACAGAATTTTCCTCCTCCATCTGCATCCCTACCCTACTCCACCCTGTGACCACACTGGATAGCTCCTGGTGTGCCAAGAAATTTCTTGTTTTTGAAAAATAAGTAATAAACTTGTTTTTTCAAAGTTTCCTTTGATAAGTGGTTGGTCTACCCACAACATTGGTCATCAACAGGCTGAGATCTTTTAATGTAATTCTTTTAGTATAGGTTAAAAAAATCTGCTAAAGAATGGGGACAACATTAACTGAGAAATAGATTTAATATTGTCATTACTCTATAGTCTTAGGTGACTTGCTACTCCTGTATAAGTAAAAATAAAATCTGAATGGTTCAAAACCACAATTACGCTGTCAAGCAATAATTATATTTGCTCATTTATTCCATAAATGTTGATTGTCTAGGCAAGTTACTATGAAAACTAAAATTCATAGACAAGGTCAAAATCTCACATGATATTGATTAAAGGATTATTGTAGTCTCATAAGCATTTCTATGGTATGAAAACTTTCCCCGTAAGAGAAAGTATAAATATCATAAGAAGTGAAAATCAGTTAAAAGCTGTCCAGATTAAAGGATAAAAGTAGGAGTTTTCACAGAAATACAGAAGCTTGGTGAATGAAGTACTATTTGGAGAGATGGAAAACATGGAGAACAGAACTATAAGATATTAACTTTGTGTTTTAGTGCTAAAAGAAGTACAGTGATTATAACCCAAAGAAATGAAATGCTAAATCTAAAATGTAAGAATATATGCCCCAGGCTTATGGATAACCTGGATATGATCAAGAAGAAGTAAAGATAGGGATGTTAAATGGAAAACCATATTGGTGACATGAAGGGTTTTGTTTATTAGAACTTTATTCCATCAATATATTCTTCCAAAGGCCAAATATATAAGTAATTGTTTATATTTCCACATAAACATTTAGTTTTGATGCTCACAAACACTTTAGGATGACGACCTAAATGTTCTTGTAGCTTTTTTAAAAGTCCAGTTTATTTCCTGGTCTTTCTTGTGTCAATCATCTTAGTCAGGCTGGTTTTCCTGCTGTCACCCTGGAAAGCACTCTTTAATACACCCTCTGCCTAGAATATCATTGACCTTTCTATTTGAGAGGAAACAATGCCTCTTATTCAGCTCTCTGCTGACTTTCAGTCACTTCCCCCACTACCCACAAGCAAATTGGACCCTTCTGGTGCTGATTCCCAGGTGGGTGGGTTTGTGTATGTTCTAGTACCCTGTGGGTCCCTCTAACAAACTCTTCTGTGAGGCTGGGAGTTTCTCCTGCTGCTTCCACCCTCACAGGTTTTTTCAGTCAGAGGTTTTGAGGCTTTATTTCCCTGTGCTGGGTCTCTGGGCTGTGTGGTCCGTCTCTCTCCCCAGTTGTTCCTCCTGGTTCATCTGCACGTGAATGTGGGACTGCCAGCTCTGCCAGCCTCCACCTTGCCTCGAGTCCTCTTCATCCTGCTGCCCATCTCCACCCCTCCTTCTGGTCTAGATGAATGTTTCTTTGTTAACTCCTTGGTTGTAGGACTTCTATACAGTTCAATTTTCTGGCAGTTCTGGTTATTTTTTGTTTTTAAATTTGTTGTCCTTTTGGTTGTGTGAGGAGACACAGTGTATCTACCTATGCCTCCATCTTGGCTGGAAGGCCAATCTATGAGTCTTCCTATTTTATCAAGCATTCATTTTTAATAATATACTTAAAATAGAGACTGAGATGGGATTTCTCTCCTTGTTCCATGGAGAGAAATGGCTCTTTGTTTAAAATTTTAAAAATAAAATCAGGCCCTGGCTGGTGTAGCTCAGTGAATTGAGCGCAGGCTGTGAAAATTCCCAGTCAGGGCACATGCCTAGGTTGCAGGCCATGGCTCCCAGCAACTGCACATTGATGTCTCTCTCTCTCTCTCTCTCTCCTTCCCTTCCCTCTCTAAAAGTGAATAAATAAAATCTTAAAAAAAAATAAAATCAGCACACGTGTTGGCTCAGATTGTAGTGTCTATAACTACATTTTTTTAATCTTTAAAAATAGTTTCTTTTTCCATAACTCACTTCTTTTTTAGTTTAGTGATTTTAAAGTTATTTGTATTCAGATTCATTTACAACTTTCTGGCAGTGTGAAAATGTTTCTATGCTATTTCAGATTTAATCTTACAGGAGCTATATCCCTCTTTTATTTATAGATATTTTAAAACTTATCAGATAGAATGGTTTTAAAATAGGTATATATAGTAATTATCTTTTGTAAGTAATTAATTAAAAATCACTTTTAATTGATTGATTTTGTAGTTATTCAACAGAAAAAATTACTGAATTATACTACATTATACAGCTTAAGTAATATTTCAAACTAGAAAGAAAAAAATCAGATTTTATTTGCATATGATTTATAGTAGTCCTCATGATAAACAACATAAATGCTCCAAAACTTAGACCAGCATTAAAGCAAAACACTGAGAAATTTCATCAATTATTATTTTATTTCAGTTTTGAAAATTAACATTTATTGTACTTTGTTATCTTATCACATATAGCAAAATTTGAGCATGTTTTCTGAACTTAATTATCTATTAACACAACTAATAGGCACTATTTTACTTAAAAATATTTATTGAAACTTGTGGGACCCAATAATCCAATAATAGTGGCCATCTAGTAATGAGTAAGAGTCCCTATCCTCAAGAACAAATTAATTGATTTAGGGTGGGGATGCAAACTTGTGTTTATGGTTTATTTAATTAAGTTTTTGTTTTACAGAGTATAGAAAGAGTATGCGCGTTCTGTTCAATGTGTTAGTATTAAGTTATAAGTTAGCCAAGACATACTGGGCATTTCACTAGGCTCTCAAGATGAATTTGACTTAGCTCTGAGGATGAACAATGTTCACAGTTCAATGTGTGAGCCGCTGATAAGCCAAGTGTTATGAGAAATGAAAGGAGAATATGGCTGCCATTATCCACACAAGTCACAGAAAGTTTCATGAGGAAGTGATATTTGAGTGGATTCTGGAAGGATAATGAGGTTTTTTCAGGCAAAGAGGAAGAGAAGAGTATTCCAGGCAGCAGCAACAAAATGTATCAAAACAGACATGAGAAGGAGCACCCCAAGTGGGTCTGATGACCAATTTTAAAGTTTGAGCAAAGAGTATGTGAGGAAAAGGGTCAGGAGAGTAGGTTGAAGAAGTGATTGATAACCAAATGTAAAGTCTTTTTATCTTGAGCATGAACATAGCTCTTCAGAATGACAAATGTAAAGAATCAGTTTTACTTTCAACTGTTATTCTGTTAGTGATATTATTCACAATCTCATACCTTTTAGTTTTAAAAAGCACCTGTCATGATTTTGTACTTGTTGTAAAGTGATCTGAGAAATGTGGAATTCAAGTTCAGACAGTTAGTACAAAGCAGTCAAGTGTGTATCATAGAAATGGTGGAAAACAAATTTGTAAGTGAAGATATGTCTTATTTTCAATTTTTCTTAGATGGCAGATCTTGCACTGGCACATTAGTCGTTCTGTTGGAAGATCATAATGATCATCCACCACAAATTGACAAAGATGTGACAATTTGTCAGCATAATCAGGATTTTGCTCTTCTCTCACCTACGGATCCAGATGGACCTGAGAATGGTCCACCTTTTGAATTCCGTCTGGATAATTCTGTCAACAGACTTTGGACCTTAGAAAAGAAGGATGGTGGGTAATTACGCTAAATCTTGTAATCAATAGAAACTTGAGATGGCTGATGGTTTTGACTTTCACCTAACTTTATGATGATAATTAAGGATTAATTTTAAGAAATTATTTTAGTGATCCCATAAGAATAATACCCAGCTATTGTAAGTAATAATGTATTTATGAGGTTTAGACTCTTGTTTTGAATATATTTTAAGAAAACAAATTTTCTTAATATAATATTTGAATAACATGTTAAGTATAGACTAGTCTAATATAGGCATAGAGCTATATCAATTAGTGTTCCTTATTTATCAAGAATTAAAAATCATTTTTAAGAAAAAAAATGAACCACTGGAAAGTTTCTTCTAAGGTAAACTCTGTGCCTCCTATCCCTGTTCCTCACCCCAAGAATACCAGTCAGAATAATATTATTATTGAAAGGTGATATCAATACATATTTTCTTCTGTTTTTCCCATAGATAAAACTGCATTGCTTCGTACAAAGCAACAACTTGATTATAACATTTATAGTGTGCCTGTTGAAATAAAAGATAAACATGGTCTTTCTGCAAAACACGTATTGTCAGTCAGAGTATGTGACTGTACAACACCATCTGAGTGTAGCATGCCTCTGAAGAGAGAGCGTGATGCCGACGTACCAAAAGTCATACTTGGAAAATGGGCAATTCTTTCCATGGTGTTGGGTTCTGCATTGTTGTTATGTAAGTATAATTATCTAGAATGCATTAGCTGGAATTTTTCCAATATTTTTAAAAACATGACAATTCTTTATATCAATGACATTTATAGCTTTTGGTAAATGTGCTCTTTTTAACAATCTTGCATGTAATAGAAGACTTAGGGTTCTGAGTCATAGAAGAAGAAACATATCATTAAGAACAGATTAAAGTAATTTTCAGAGGTGTAACCTTAATTCTTCCCATAATTATCTGTGAGACACTGGTTAAATCATTTCCTCTTCTTAAGTTCTTTTTTCCATATGTAGGATGAGAAGGTTGGATAAAATTAATATCAAGATTCCCTCTCATACAAAATATTAGTAGTGAATGCAAAAAAGAATTAGTGAAAAGAGTAGCTCCAAAATTTACTTAGAGGTTTATGCTCACTGTTATTAATATGATATAGCATATATCTTAACAAAACTTTATTGAGTGGAATGAATGGAAAATAGTCATATGGTGAGCTACTGAGGGAAAGCGATTCATGCAAAGAATGTTAAGATTTTGCATCCTGAGAACTGTTTTTCAGAGATGCAAAAGTGATAGAAATCATTGCCCACACTTCCCTCCCTCTCTCCCATCGTTCCTCCCTCCATCCCTCTCTCCTTCTTTTCTTTCTTTATTAACAATCTATTTGGCTACACACATTCTATTCACATTTATAAGTTTTTGTCACAGTTTTTGCTGTTCCTAATTCATTGATATGAGTTTCAAGTTAAACTGGTTGTTTCTCTTAGAGCTGTGTTAGTGATGTACGATTTCAAAACCAGTCACTGATTTTATGTAATTGCCTTTCCTGTTTGTATTTATGCCTAATACATAATATGGTTATGCCTAAAACCATTTGTTTTATGACTCCAAGCCCATTAAGAGTATGTGTTTTAAATACTAATAATACTAGCTTAAATTTCAATCAAATAAAGTTAGTATTTCAGTGTGGAGAAAATAAGGGAAATATTTAAGTTAATTCTGGACCTGGGAAGAGAACTGTTAATAAACTGTACTCATTTAATCTTCCTTACTTTTTTATTGATCTATTTCTTATTTAGTCTAATAACATAATCTCACTAAGAGATGGTCTGTATACTAATACATTTGTTAATATTCTGTTTTAAATTATATGACCCAAGGGTACTTTATGGAATAAAAATTTTTAGGTTCTCCAAAGAACCTTTTAAACAATCATATGATTCAAATGATTTAATATATATCAGCATCAAAAAATAATTCTACTTACCTAAATATTTTTATTTTTTAGGTGCCCTTTTTACATGTTTCTGTGTTACTGCTAGGAAAACAGTAAAGAAATGTTTTCCAGAGGATGTGGCCCAACAAAATTTAATTATATCAAATACTGAAGGACCTGGAGAAGAAGTAATGGTAAACCATATTTCACTTTTTTTTTGACTGTGTGGTGATGCAATGATGACAGTTCATTATTATATAATAATAGTAATAATAATACATCTAATGTTTATTGAGCACTTACTATGCCAAGCAAAGCTCAGTGCCATACTTGTGTTAATAAAATTAAAATTCATAATTCTGTTGTATTAGTTTTCTAGGGCTGTCATAATAAAGTACCACAAAGTGAGTGACTTAAACAACAGAAATGTGCAGTCTCACAGTGCCGAAGTTTAAAAGATCAAGGTGTTGGCAGGAACACGTTCCCTCTGAAGGTGCCAGAGAAGAGCCTGTCAGGCCTCTCTCCCAGCACCTGGTGGGTGGTTCCCTAGCTGATGGCAGTATAAATCAAATCTTCAAATGTCATTCTCCTTGTGTGCATGTCTGTGTCCAAATTTTACCTTTTGGATTAGGGGCCCTCCCTAACTGATAACTTCATCTTAATTTCACTAGTTACATCTATAATGACCCTATTGTCAAATAAGATCACATTCTGAGGCACTAAGAGTTAAGACTTCAATATACAAATTTTGTGGGGGGGACACAATTCAACCCATAATACCTAACATTTGGGTACTATGATTATCCTGATTTTAGGTATGGGAAACTGAGAGGCACAGTAAGTGATTTGCCTGTGGTGTGAAAGACATAAAGGCAAATTGTTAGTTTCAATTTGATTTATCCATTTTATAATTCTAACTTTATTTTTAGGAAGCAAATATTAGACTCCCCACACAGACATCCAACATCTGTGACACAAGCATATCTGTTGGCACTCTTGGTGGCCAGGGAGTCAAAACACAGCAAAACTTTGAGATGGTCAAAGGAGGCTACACTTTGGATTCCAGCAAAGGAGGTGGACAGCAGATCCTGGAGTCTGTCAAGGGAGCAGGACAAGGGCTGACAGATACCGGCAGATACGCATACACCGACTGGCACAGCTTCACCCAGCCTCGGCTTGGCGAAGTAAGTGCTGGTGTCTCTGAGCTCATATCCTGTGAAAGTTAAACACTGCTCATAAATCAGGATTTCCCAAACATTTTATTTCTCCTACGCCTGGAATTCATCACTTTTTAAATATTGAGTTATTATAGCTAGGGATGACAAGTACAAGCCCAAAAAGAAAAATGATTTTGTAAAGTTCAATGTTTAAAATAAGGATTACAAAACTTTGTCTGGGAGTGGCATATGTAGTCATGTTTAGGAAGTATAAAAAAACTGATAGTTTCTTCCCTAAAAATTTAAAGAAAATATCACCTAGAGTGAAATATTTGTTAGAGAATAGTACACAGATCATAAATTATACACAATTTTTAGTGTGTTAAATCCTTCATGTGGTCATAAAATCCTGGCTGTCAATATCAACCAGATAAACTTCAGCTTTTATTTGGGGTTTTGGTTCCTTGTTTTATGTTCAGATTAATCATTATAAATTAATATTAACCAGTTTAATATATTACATTATTATAGCTATTTAATAGTGTATAAATGATAAGAATCCTAGCAAATATTGGTTTCCCCAAAACATGTGAAGCCACGGAGATCCAGTTCAACTATACAGCTCTTATGTTCAAGTGGGAAATAGTAAGTTGGTTGTATGATATACGTGTAGCTTTAGTTTTCATAAATGTTTTCACGGGGAGCATTTAAATATTTGCGATATTTTAAGAATGACTATAATATAGACCAATCATGTGCATTTTTTATATGTAGGAATCCATTAGAGGACACACTCTGATTAAAAATTAAACAGTAAAAGGTAAATCAAAGACATTATTTTTATGCTAATATATTCAAGTGTTTTTAAAAAATAATAAAATGTGATCTTTTTTAATACAGAAAGTATATCTGTGCGGACAAGATGAGGAGCATAAACATTCTGAAGACTATGTTCATTCATACAACTATGAAGGAAAGGGGTCCATGGCCGGCTCCGTAGGCTGCTGCAGCGATCGGCCGGAAGAAGAAGGGCTTGAGTTTCTGGATCATCTGGAACCCAAATTTAGGACACTAGCAAAAACATGTGTAAAGAAATAAATGTGCCTGTTTAATGGAGTAACATCTACAAGGGCATATGCAGGAGTTTAGTGAATGTAAAATGATAGCAGCGCCTGCTAATGTGTTTGTTTATTGGAGGTAAATGTCAAGACCTGTAGAGAAGGATACTATAAATAGAAAGCTCCCTAAGTTCTCCTTGTCTAGAATAACTTCGGTGTTTTCTAGAAATAACTGTTCCATCGGCTCATTTTCTTGTATATGCCTGTACATACTGCCCTTTCCAGGACTGTACTTTGCTCTTCCTTGTACCTTCTGTTACTTTGCGTGCTATGGGAGCATATGTAGAACAGCTGGGGATTGTGGAGGCTAATAAAAATGAATTTCTATTTTAGATGAAAATTAAATGCTTTCTTTTAAATGTTGGGGAAAATAATCTATTAAGAAATGGTCTTTGGTGCCAGAGAATTGCTCCCTCTACACAAGTGGCTATGTACTGAAGGCTTTTTAAGTCTTCTTTGGTGCAGTCTTCAATTTGGTAAATAATAGCTCATTTCTCACTACATTTTTCACCTGCAGAGATGCTCCTAGCACTGTTTATTTTCAGGATGCTTCAGAGCTTGGTACTTGGATCTCTGCCCATGGGAATGCCTCATCAAGTTCCTATAGCTTCTAGGGCCATTGGAAAGACATAGGCCAAAATAAGTCCACAGCAATTTGAGCCATGGAGACTTTACATGAAAGCATTTCCATGAAGGAATTGCAACCTTGATGCCCATGGGTCGACTTAGGTTCACAAATATGGTTTCTTTGCTCATCATGGTGTATAATTACTTTTTAAAAATATAAATAACTTTGCAAGAACATGCATTCACTAGTTTGCCACAGGTCCACAATCTTTAAGCGTTTGTGAAATAAGCCCAGTGGGCATTAGGTTTGAAATTCTGATCCACAGTACTTAGACCTTTGAAGATGCTAAAAACTGAATGACCCTTCATTCATTGTGGAACCTAATACTCAGTTTACATTTGTAGTTACTGTAAGAAAATAGAAAATCACAAAGCATGGCTGGAGTGCATATGTTAAAAACTGAAACCTATTAAAGCAACACCAAATATTTTTGAATGATAGATGAATAAACATGTGAATTAATAAATTATTTTAAATGCATAATAATTTAATAGGATACTATATATTATTTATTTGAAAAAAATTTAAATAATATTTTAAGAGTCTTCTGTGCCAGACTATAAATTTATCATTGTTCATATACAGTTTCAGACTATAAATTTATAAACAATTAATACATCACACAAATTTCTCATGCAATAAAAACTGTTTTGCATGGGTGGGTGGCTCAGTTGGTTGGAGCATCATCATGTATACTGAAAGGCTGCAGGTTCCATCCCAGGTCAGGGGACATACCTTGTTGCAGTTTTGATCCCTGGTTGGGGTGTGCCTGGGAAGCAAATGATTGATGTTCTTTTCTTACATCAATTTTTCATTCTTTCTCCCTTCCTCTGTCTCTAGAAGTCAATAAACATATCCTCAGGCGAGGTTTAAAAAATAATTAAAAAATGAAAAATAATTTTCATATAACTATGAACCAATTAACTATTAAAAAGTGAGTGGTTACTTTTGAAATTTTTTTGTGATTAGTCTCCTTTTTCTCAGTCACAGCTTCTAATCAAAGGTGTTTCTTGACATGAAATTAGATATTAAAGCAGAATAAAAAAGTGGTGTTAATAAGTAAGATTTTATTTTATAAGCCATCCACATTCTATGATTTTTATAGTCATTGCGAGGAAAATAATTTTGGGACATAATGCAATTTCTGTTTTCTGACATGCACGTTATTCTGACAACGATACCAGGTTTGTTAATTTTTTAAATGTAATGTTAAAAATTTGGAAATATATCATAAATCAAGATAAGTTATATTCATAAATGTAGGTGCAGAATGTTTTCTGAGCAATTAAAAATTGCAAGCCAAACATTAACTTCTATGTTTTCACTTATATTTTCTTATTTTTTACATTTGCTTAAATGTAGAAGAGAAAATTTATATCTGACCATAAAATACAATTAAAGGCCAAGAAAAGACTTCCTGGACAGCAGGAGAAGATGCTCTAAAAGTATTACCAGAATTATTAGATAGTATGGGAAATTGATTTATATTAAGAACTTTTGGCTATTTAAAATGTTTTCGAATGTTATCAATGAAATGTATTTCACAGAGAAACTGTGACTGTCTTTTGCTTTATGTAGAAAATTCAAAGTTATTCTCTGTTGACACTCAAAATTAAATGTTAAGTGTGTAATTGAGGAAATATCTGACCTCCACTGTACTCTTTACAAATTTAGTTTACTAATAAAATGTATTTTATGGATTATTTCATATAAATTAATTGTCCATAAATAAATCATAAATTTTTTCTATACTTAAATCAATAGGTAAAATATACAATTAAGTTTTTTTATCTTGACTCACATCTAAAATTATGTAATATTAAAAAATGCCATGGGAACATCAAAATTGATAAAGATTAATATAATTATTATAAATAAGTTTTGTTAAATACTTCCTTAATTTTACTGAGTTTTTAACTTCCCTTGAGATTATTAATATATTTTATAAAACAATATCTATGCATATGTCTACTTTTAAGAATTGAATATGCTATGTAATTTGGGAAATATTCACAATAGCTGTTTTAGAGTTGAGGGTTTTTATTATCATAGAAAGAAAAAGCTGACTCCTTTTATGGTGTGTTAGCTATAAAAGTCCTGTACTAGTTGAAAATCATCAATTAGGCTAGGTAATCAAAGAAACATGTATATTATTGGATTTGCCCCAAAGTTTTTTTTTTCCGTTAACTACATTCAAAACAATTTTGTTAGATTGCACTGTGACAGCTGTCATATCAACATGCATTTAAAAAAGACATCAATCGCTTCTCGGCCTTTTGGCTAAGATCAAGTGTAGTATCTGTTCTTATCAGTTTAAAAAAGACATCAAAATTCGATGGAAGAAAATAAGCAACATTTTTGGAATATTATGCTTTATTATTTTAAGAAAGGTGAAGAACATAACTGAAATGCAAAAAATTTGTGCAGTGTCTGGAGAAAGTGCTGCGACTTATGGAGTGAGTTAAAAGTGGTTTGGGAAGTTTTTGCTGTCAGTTTCTCATGGGGTGATGCTCCGTAGTCAGGTAGACCAGAAGTTGATAGGGATCAAATCAAAGCATTAATTGAGAAAAATCAACATATTACCACATGGGAGGTGGCCAACATACTCAAAATATCCAAATCAATAAAATTATTTGTGAAAATGAAATATGTCTTTTATTTTACAGAAAAAACTAAATGGACTTTTTGGCCAACCAAATACTCTATGTCTCTTGGTCTCATTCACCCGCATTTCTAATATATCTGAAGAAACATTGTATTTGGCCCAGACTGTGCGTTTGTCTTCCTACTTATGTAGGAAGAAAAGAAAACTGAACTACAGCAGGAGAAAGCATTACTAAGAATGGATACACTCTTGTATATTGTGTAGGGCCCAATAAATTAAGCAAGAATAATTTTAAAAAATTTTGAAAGGATAGCATTGTATAAAAAATAAAAACCAAATGACCTCAAATTCTTACTAACAATAAAACAATGACCATTTTCAAATATATAGACTTATTTATATATATAAGAAATATTATGAAAACAAATGCGTAAATAAAGTACATTCATAATTCATGTTTCACATGAAATTATTTAAAAATCTCTACTTGTTAAAGTTTTTTGAGTGATAAGAGTACAATGCCCTTTGATAAAACCAATCTACAGAGTTAGATAATATTTATTTCATAGCCTTAGAGAAAAAAGAAAATAACTGAAAAGAAGTGTGTCCTTCTGTATTTGGCCTGAAAATATACAGGATTTCAAACTTTTTAAAATTTAGTTGTCAGTGTTCAACAATTAATATCTGTAATTGCAGAGTGTTTTCATTTGCCCATGTATAGGACCCTTAATATTTAAAAAGAAACTCCAAGGTTTCCTCTGAGATACACAATGTTTTATCTGGATTTCACAGCAAAAAATTCATGCAGAATTATTATCTTTCCAGGTATAGTTCAAGAAAACTGAAGGGACCCCTTTATTCCAAAGTGGAAATGAGAGAATTTCCTTGTTTTGGCTTTGCCTCTACTAAAATACATGTATATAGAAAATTTAGGAATTAAGGGGGGAAGTTCATTTATATAAAACCTGAAGTCCAAATTCTCAGAGGTATTTTGTCCATCGTAGGTATTTTACAAGAAGGGTAGGGTACTGTTCTATACCCACACTATTTCTAACCTCTTTGAGATACATACTGAAGTTCTAATCTGAATTTGGACCAGCAGCAGCAGCAGCAGCTGCAGAACCTGGTAACTTGTTAGAAATGCTAGTTCTTGGGTTCCTCCCCCCAAATCCACAAACTTTGAAACTCGAAGGATGAATTTCTCCAGGTCCTATCAAGTTAACTTCAGTACCACGACCTCTTTGCTACTCCGTATTATTCACATTATTGGAGAGCTTGGGAGGACTGTGAGTTCAGGCTCCATCTCAGACCTATTGAATCAGAATTTGCATTTCATCCAGGTTGCACATGAAACTTTGATGCGCATTGTATAGAGAGGATGCCTTGAGAAGAAACTGCGAAGTCTAAAGCACAATTAGACAATTAAAGTTAAGACACGGGTAGCCTCAGGCAGCGGGTCTATGACCACTGTATAGTAAGAAAATTTGTCCCAGGTCACCTGGTGACCCAAATTCAAGACCACCTTGCCTCTCACACCCACAAAGCAGAACCCCACTCTGTTTTCTTATGTATGTGGATATTGATTCTCTGAACTTTGTACCTAACAGTGCCATACATTGGAGGGTATACAATGACACTCAAGGTAATCAAATTTAAGTGAATGCCATGTTCATTGCCACTTAGTAAATTTGTTTTGCTAAGCCAAAATTAAGAAAAAAATCACATGTTGACATTAATTACTTTTGGTCAGGCCCATCCAACATATTTGCTAAATTATGTTTAAAAACCAATCTAAATAAAAACCCTGATAGTTTAAGCAACACGTAGCATCCTGAGATCATTTAGGCAAATAGGTGTCTTGATGTATCCTTTCCTACTGAGGCAGTTTATCATCATGTACATTTTTAAAGTTTTATTTTTCTGGTTGTAGCTGATTTTAAGTGTCATAGATGTGGCTAAGAATCTGTCAAAAACAGCTGTGTTATATTAAGTAACATATTCTGGCCTGATTATTTCTTTTTGTTTCAGATTGGGAAATCAGCTGGACTAAAATTAAGACTAATTTTCAGAATTGTTTTAATTTTAATGTTTTAATTTAATATCAATTGATATTAAATATATAACAATATAATATATAATATACACAATTATTAACTATAGTAAGTATTGACTGTTAATATTAAATATTAATTTGATAGTGATGTTTCAGTCTTAAATATATTTAAAGTTAGACATTAAGAGGACACTTACCACTGACAAATACAGGCCCTTTGCTATTTTGCGGGGGCTGTGGCAGAGACCACAACTGTCTACCAACTATCCCTAACCTAGTTCTTAGAAGTGGAGCTCTGACTTTATCAGAGTGGCTATGTTTCTAACTAAGAGACTATTATTCCCCAACCTCCTTGATCTAAGTGCATGTCCTAAATTGCTGTCAGTGAGAAGCAAGTGAAATGCTGTGGATAAGATCTTTGAGAAGGTATCTTAAAGGAGCTAATTCAGCTGACAGATTTTTTTGTCTTTTTTTGTTTGCTTCCACTAACTGTATGTCTTGATATCTAGAACACCGACGTGATGTCTGGGGCTCAAGCAGCCGTCTTGAGATGCCTCAGAATAGAAGTCATGAGCCATTTGCTGAGAATGGTGGAGCATTAAGACAGAGGGAACCTGGATCCCTGGGGACTTCATGGAGCCTTCACATCTGCTCTGGACTTCTGCCTCCATACCTGTTCACCCGAGTGACTAAACCTTTGTGTGTTAAAGCAATGACATTTTAGATGTTCTGTTAAATGTATTGAATTTAATCTGATACATTGAGAGAACAGATATTAGGTAGAATTAATTGATTTATGTAAATCATGAATCAATAAACTTAATCTGCCTTGGGAACTCCTTTTCTTTTGGCCAGGGTTTAAAAAATGATCAATCTTGAAGATATTTCAGGGGTTCTCTAACCAGTCTCAAGGTAGAATGAAGTGCTAATTATTTCATGGAAATAAAAAATGGTACACCTTTTTTGGGTCACTTGAAAATACTCTCTTCTATCCTCTCCAAAGTCAAAAGCCTGACTTTGTAGGAAGCCATGGGTCTAGGAGCAAGGAGACCTGTTAACCCATTGCATAGTCTTTAACAAGTCAGCAAATCTCATTTATTAACACTTCAATCCCTTCAACTATTC